AAATAGACTTCCAGGAAGTCCAGGAATCTCAGAGAGTTTTAAAGAAGTTGGACCCAAGAAGGAGCACACCAAGGCACATCATAATTACATTAGCCAAGATTAAAATGAAGGAGAGAATTCTAGAAGCAGCAAGAGATAAGGAGCCAAGAGTGCCCATCAGACTGTCAACTGATTTCTCAACAGAAATCAGCAAGAAATCTTGCCTGATTTCTTGCAGGCAAGAAGGGGCTGGAAAGAAGTATTCCAAGTCATGAAATACAAGGACCTACATCCAAGATTGCTTTATCCAGCAAAGCTTTCTTTAGAATGGAAGGACAGATAAAGTGCTTCTCAGATAAGGTCAAGTTCAAGGAGTTCATCATCACCAAGCCTTTATTATATGAAATATTAAAGGAACTTATCTAAGAAAAAGAAGATAAAAAATATGAATAGTGAAAGGACAGCAAACTCACAGTTATTAACAACCACACCTAAAACAAAAGCAAACTAAGCGGACTCCTAAAACAGGAGCGGAGCCACAGAAATGGAGATCACATGGAAGGTTAGCAACAGGGGAGTGGGAGGAGGAGAGTGGAGAAGGTACAGAGAATAAGTAGCATAGATGGTGAGAAGAAAATAGACAGGGGGAGGGCAAGAGTAGTGTGGGAAATGTAGAAGCTAAAGAACTTATGACACATGGACATGAACTAAAGAGGGAGAATGTGGGTGGGAGGGGGTGTCCAGGGTGGAGGGGAATGAAGGGGAGGACTGGGACAATTCTAATGGCATAATCAATAAAATATATTATTTAAAAAATTAGGAAATTATAGCTCAAAGTAAATTTACTCTTAATTATGTAAAACACATGGAATGCTATATTATTAGATAAAGTATCATGTTTATGAAAATGGAGGATATGGAAAAAGGGTAAATAAATTATGTAGCATTAAGGTATCAGTTTTCTAAGGGAAATGCAACACATATTCTCTCGTAGAAGATTAAGTCAGTTCAGTCTTTGTCTCTCTTTCTTTTTCATTTTTCTTTTTTAGTGAAATATAGTTTTTTGTTTTTATGCTTAAATTTTTGTTTGTTTAACTTAGAGTGCATTATTGAAATATTTGAAAATCATAGAATATTTACATATGTTTTATATATATAAATATGCATAAATATACTAAGTCTATATTTTATTCATAGGCTGCTGGCATAGGGAAGGCTCTATGAAGGTGGTCGGATTGGACCAGGTCCTTAAGAATACATGGAATTTGAGTACACGGAATGTCTTGAAAAAGGTTATTTTACTCAGGGTCTCATTTGAGAAAAGCTATTGCAGAGGGAATGAGCAAAGTCAGGAGACAGTTAACAACACGCTTGTCTTGCTAGAGTGCTGGTTTGTGTTTGGAAGTGAAGGTTTAAAAGGTTGGGATCAAATGGTGAAATATCTTAGATGCCTACCAAGGATAATATTTGGGGGGAAAATGAAGAGTGTAAACAGAGGAGCAGAAGCTTCATTTTGGGCAACTTAACCTGGAAGGGGATGCACAGGTAGCTCGGACCGGACTGGGGATGTGCTGGTGTTAGGGAGATTAGTGAGGAGGCTCTCTCCCTTCCTTCCTGCACACATTGCAATAATCCAGGTGTGAGTTGATTTTAACTAGGCTTAAGGTGAAAGAGGATGAAACAGAAGAGACTTATGAGAGAGACAAGATAAAACAGAAGGGCTGAGTACATACAGGCTTGCAAGGAATCAGTGGTGACTAATGATTTGACACAGAAATAGGAAGTTAGGTAAAAGAATTTTTGCAGTGCCGACAGGCAGAATTTATATCTATTTAACTATTCAAAATTAATAATAGTTTTTATAAGAAAAACCATACCACCTGAAATATAGAAAGTGTCTTATTTCTATGCCAAGTAATTTTAAATTATTTTTTTCTTTACAACATATTGAAAGTCAGGGAAATGTTTGTAGAAGAGTTTGGACTTTATTTTAAAGGCAATAGGGAACCACTGAAAAGGTTTGTTCAGATTCTTATTTAGGCCAATGACTGGCTGTAGGATAAGGGATAGACCGCAGAAACTAGAGAGGAGACTTTGCAGCAGTCCAATTGCAGATGATGGCAGCTTGGGCTACTAATAGTAAGACTGGAAAATATGGTTGACTTTGAAGGGTATTTAGTTGATAGAAAAGATGAAACTTGACTGATCATAGAAGTCACACTCTTTTTTTCAGATGAAAGTGTTTTACCCAAGAATATAACATAGTAACAAGACTTAGATCTCTTAAATCAATATTCTTCCATTAAGCCAATGACAATTTTTATTATGCCTAAAAGCTACATCATGCTTATTTTTATACATGAAAGAAAAATTCAAATGTAAGTATGGGCAAAAGTGAAGGGCAGAGGGCTAACCCTGCTGTGGAGTGTTGCAGCTATTAAGAGGCCATGAGAGACCTCCTTCCAAAGCCTCCCTGAGCAGACTGAGGCCCAGCTTGGTTTGTGACAGGCCTGGTGCTACACAATAACGGAACCGTGATCAGACACCAGTTCTTCTGATTCACTGCCTTGTAAATACTCTTTTATCATAATGTCACTAGAATTTTTTAATAACTAAGAATATGATAAATTCTATACTAATGCTTCCAAAATCAGAAGTATCTGAATTACTCAGGAAGTTAACTTTCTAAAAAAGAAGCAATTCCTAGGGAAGTTCAAATGATATTATAGGCCAAAATAAGATAGTTATCAGTCATTGACTTTCTTTTGCTTAAGTGATGCTATATGATCTTGTGTGTAAGAGAGAAAGGGTTCAGAACCTTATAACATGACACCTACCTAAGGCAAGGCTGCCATCTGTGGGCTGAGGGTGTCCACCAGGACACCAGAATGGAAGGTAGGTGGTTTGTCCTTATCTATGCCTGTAGCCCCACCTGCTGGATTACTTGTGGAATACTTGTTTGTTGACTGGGTATTTCAAATTGGCTGTGCTATGTGCTATTCTTTGTTGTTGTGGAAGGGTAGAAGTGGACTTTAACTGTAAATTTCACACCCTGACTGAAGTGAAAATTCTAGGTTAAGCTCAGAATTAATATAAATCTTCTTAGCCTACTATTCTTCCTTATGTCATTTTATCAGTTATCAAGAAAATATTAACTAAAAATAAAGTTTTATTTTGAAAGAAGAAAGGAAAAAATTGTTGAATGAACAAAAAACCCACAAAAGCTATGACACAGCACTTCCGAAATTCTTGTTTAGCTACAGTACTATAATGTGATTGGGGTATTTATTTGGAGGCAAGGTTTGATGTACTCAGGGATTTGCCTCTTCCGGTGGGAGTGGGATGGCTTGAAGATAGCCCCAGCAAAACCACTGAATGAGAGAGAGGGGTTTCTTAAGGGAAGAGATGCTGCGCGGATGAAAATAACAGGTTCTGCAATAGGAAACCAATGGAACACTTACAGTATATGTCAGTATACCTCGGAATGACACATAAATATTTAGAGGCAAGGTAGAGCAGCAATATGTGTGGACATCTTCAGAAAAAGAGTAGTCCAGATTTTGAACTTGACAGTAAAGATTTATTCACTGGGTTTTTGTGAATTTAAAATTTTACAGGCTTTTTTAAACCATGAGCATTTTGGAATTCTTGTGGTCAGAGATCGGGGGTACTGCTACTTTCTGGTTCTAGCAAGCCTTGGTATTCCTTAGCCTCCATTGCCTAATTACAACTGCTGTAGGCCACAGGTGGCAAACACAGGGCCTGGGGCTGGATCCGGCCTCCACCTTGTTTTACCCAGCAGGCACCTTGTTCTATCCAGCAGCAATGCTGAGCTTCTTGCCTCTAGTTAAGGAGTAGTTACATTTATATGGTCCTAAAATTGCATTCAGCCCTTTGAAGGCAGCTGCCAGGCTGATGCGGCCCCCCAGTGAAAATGAGTGTGACGCCCTGCTGTAAACTGTGTGGATTAGGCATTGTCAAATGTTGTTCTTTTTATCTGAAATCACTCTCACTCCTTTACAGTGAGGCTTCTGTAAAAACATTGTACAGAAAGCTCTCACACTGGTCATTTTTCTGTGCGTTTGGCACACAGCAAATGCTCTACTGCCTTGTTCTTCTGTTTTACATTCTGGTTCTGTTTTTCAGGCTACGTAGTCATCTCCTTTAGTCAAGGACCACCTTATACCCTTGGACCTACTCCAGTAGTAAACTTAATTATTGGTTAGCTGCTTGATTAATAAAGGACTAGATGACTTTAGGTCTTTCCTGAGTAAAGAAGTTTTAGGGTGGGTTTTTTGTGTTCTTGCCAAGGTTCTTGCCATTTCTATTACCTACCTTTTCTCATATCTGCCCCTAAATGAAACCTAATATGTCAAAAAGCTTGCCCTTTCCCCCATCATCGGCACCTCAAGACGTGTGGGCCTTAGAACAGTCAACGGCTGTGAGCTGTGTTAACTGGCAACAGTGCATCTATGACACGGGTGGGAAGTTGAGAGCAGGGGGTGACGGTCTTGTCAGAAATGAAGCCTCGGATGTCCAGTGGACTTTCCTCTTCTAGTTCACTTGGTCAGGTTGGCAGATGTGAAATACAGTTTTGTTTGATACTTTTTATTTATTAAAGGTTTTAGCAAGTCGGGATATCACAGGTCCTAGAAAACGTATGCAAAACAGTATGTTATTATTTATTAACTATTGTGTTATTTTTAATATGAATAACTGTACACCTACTTTTGTCCTATCCTATGTGTACACATAACACAGAGTTTAACTGTATCTCTCTTTAGTTTTTTTCATGTCTCTCTAGGTCTTCTCTCTAATCATATGTATATTCTGTGTGTTCGATATGGTTCCTACTTACTTGATATTCTTTCATATCACTTATCCAGTAAATAATTATAGATTATTTATAGATATTTTGGAATCATTTCAGCTTTGTTTGCTTGTGTTAATTATTATGTTTCTGTTGAAATTTGCAAAGACAATGGCATGCAATAATTTGGGGAAATTGTTTTTTTTATAAGTCTGTAGAAGAGAAGCTTTCTCTAGCACAGGAGGACTTGATTGCAAACAGAAATCAGATTGGAAACCAAAGTAAATTAATTCAAGAACTAAAGACTACCAAAGCAACGTTGGAGCAGGATGTCGCAAAGAAAGAACAGCAACTAAGGGAGCAGTGTGCAGCACTACAAGATACCCAGAAAGAAAAGGTATTTCATTTTCAGACTAAATCCAGAGTCTTAGAGTTGAAATGGCCTTGGAGTTGAAATGGCCTTGGAGATCATCCAGTCAAACCTCCTCATTTCAATGCATGTATCACCTTTCTTTTCAACTGCTCTTTCAGGTGGACTTTTAACTTCTGATAAACAGTTTTAGTAACTGAAATTTTAATTTTAAGAAATACTTCTTAATAACCTCCTTTCATTTCCATCTGTTTTTAATACTATTTTTAGTTTTATAAACTAATCTATTTTTCATATTATAGATCCTTGGTTATTCAAAAACATATATCCCTTCAACTATTTCTCATATAATATGCTGTTCTCTACATGTGGGAATGAGATAATAAAAGGTCTAGAAATAATTCCTAAGCTTGTTAAAAATTCTTAAAATTAAGAACTAGCTTTTTTTTAGAAGGAAGTATGGGTATATATATATATATTTTTTTTTTTTTTTAAAGATTTTTTATTTATCTTTAGAGGGGAAGGAGAGAGGGAGAGAAACATCAATGTATGGTTGCCTCTAGTGCATCCCCTGCAGGGAACTGGCCTGCAGGGAACCTGACTGCAACCCAGGCATGTGCCCTGACTGGGAATCGAACTGCGATTGTCTGGTTCACAGGTCCGTGCTCAATCCACTGAGCTACACCAGCCAGGGCTATATGGGTATATTTTTAATAAATGATGCTAAGTTATAAAATTTAAAACATTGCATTATATGACCAGTACATTTAAAAATCAGTTAAAATTCCATATGAAAGAGAAATTCAGCTTCTGGGGAACACTGTTTGGATTTCATAATTGAAATCTTCTGTTTCCATCACTGATAGGATATTATTCCAAAGTATGCAATTCCTGAAGTGCTTGGTATTCTTAAATTGTAAAATTCCTGAAATTCTCTTTAATTAAAAAAATGAGTGATATTTTTGTGGGAGCGAGGCTGGTAAAATCATGAATTCTTGATTTGTGCTTTAAGTTTAGAAAATTCTGACAGAACTATAGTTTATAGGCCTTTAATTGCAAGGGCTGTGATTTAGTTAAAACTTGTTTTAGTTTTACCTCTAATAGGTTATTCAGCTTTTCTAAAGCATATTGTTCATTTACCTATAAAATGGGTAAAAGAGCTACCTAGTATAGAGATTAAATTAGATAATATACTACTAGCTTAGGTGTCTTATGTAAAGTTAACAGTAATAACAATAGTATTAATAAGAGTAAGAATAGTAGATTTGGCTAAATTTTATAGTATTCTTACTTGGTTAGTCACTATTCTTTTTACAGTATTAACTCTATAATTCTTATAATGATCTTATGGTTCATATTGTATAAATAAGGACATGGAGGCAAGAGAAGGTGAGTAATTTACTGATGTTAGGTAGAAAGGGGAAGAGAATGTGTTATAAGTGGTGGCAGTCATTTTGATAACATTAATAATCAGTTAAGTATTTACTTTAAAATTATTTTAATACATCTTTTTTCTACAGTCACTGAAAGAAAAAGAACTAGTAAATGAAAAATCTAAATTAGCAGAAATAGAAGAAATTAAGTATAGACAAGAAAAAGAAATATCTAAACTGAGTGAAGAACTCAAGTTCCACAAGCAAGAAAGCATGAAGGTATATTAAGATAATCATCGTTCTTCCTTCAACATTGTATTATTGTAGCTGAAATTTAAATGTATACTTTTGTTTTTGAAAAATTCTTTTGTTCTCAAGAGTATTCTTGAGTTGTATAATATCAGTGTACATATTGAAAATATATTACATTTGTTTTCAGGTTACTGAATAAAACAAAGTAACCTTAAAAATTTAGATTTTGTTGAAATGATAATCAAGAGAGCTATAGATTTAGAAACTTCTACTTGTAGATAAACTTCAAAATATGTAAGACTTTACAATTAAAAATTTTTAAGATTTTATTTATTTATTTTTAGAGAGGGAAAGAGAGGGAGAAATGGAGAGAAACATAAATGTGTGGTTGCCCCTCAAGCGCCCCCAACAGGGGACCTGGCCCGCAACCCTTTGGTTCACAGGCTGGCACTCAATCCACTGAGCCACAGCATCCAGGGCAGAATTAAGATTTTTTTAGGAATTCTGTTTCTTCAGCTGTTTTTTTTCAAAAGTTCTTTAATAATCTCTTGAATATTCTTCCTGTCATAAGCAAAGCCAGGGTGCTATTTAAAGAAATTAATTGTTTATAATTTGCTCTGAAAAATGTTATTCATTTTCTTAGAAAAAGGTTAGATTCTCTCAAGTGCTCTCATACTACCTGCTATGTCTATCAGTATAATTACAATTTTGCTTTATAATTAATTATCTCTATATTATGTCATTAAGTTCTTCCAGATGGATTTCCTTAAAGCAGTTAATGTATACAGTGCATCTTCGTGTAAATCCTCAGAACCTAACACAGTGTGTGATGCTTAAATGGCAACTATTAAACACTTGCTAAGTGAATAAGTAGAAATTGAGGGTAGAAATTTTTCTGTCAAAACCTATATGTAAAGTACCACTTGAATTTAAATGATTGTTGAGCAGACTAAATAATCTTACATTGTTCTATTTGTATTAATTTGTTTTTCTTAAAAATTGTTGACACTATTATAGCTGTCCCCCATTTCCCCTCCACTTTGCCCCTCCATCCAGCCCCTGCCTCCCCTCCTTCCCCAGCCTTCACTGCACTGTCGTCTGTGAGCATGGGCCATGCACATGTGCATTCGTGTTCTTTGGCTAATCTCTTCCAGTCCTCTCACTGTCCCCTCTGCAGTGTATCAGTCTGTCTCACATATGCATATGTATCCATGCCGTCTTGAATCTTTTTAAACAATTATTTGAAATACCAAACTTTAAGAATTAGAAAAGAGACTAAGACTCATGTTGTGTATATTTCAGCTGTATTTTGAAATATTTACTATGAAGGATGGTTTATTTTTGGCCTTTTTTAAATAGGAGTTAACAAATCTCAAGGAAGCCAAACAGCTTCTGATTCAGCAGAAATTAGAGCTTCAGGGGAAAGTAGATTCCCTGAAGGCAACCCTTGAACAGGAGAAGAGGAATCAGCAAATGCTAAAAGAGCAGGTGAAAAAGGAAGAAGATGAGCTGAAGAAACAATTGATTGAGAAGGAAGCTAAATTGGTCAGTAGGTTAATAGTGGGAAGTGTGTTTTGTGATTGATTTTGTAAGTCAGTCCTTAAGAAGGATTTTTCTACCTAGAATGTTCACCTCACATTTTAATTTTATTTAAGAGATCTGATTTGTTTAAATGACTGAGGTACTACTAGAATATGTATTTTAGTTTATATTGGTTTATATAGATGAAAATCCAATAAAACATGATTAAAAAAAACATTTTTAGTGTCAGAAAAACCCACAACTGTGCAGATTGAGGTAAATGGGATTAATGCTAATCATGTTCAACTCATTTGCTTGGTCAAAGTGAATGTTGCTAAAGGGGGAATGTAAACCTACATTTCAGATTCTGATGCCAAAGTCTACTTTTCATTGCCTAAGTTGTGGATGCCAAATGGGAAGCATCTGGCTTTCCTTTGTTGAATGAAGTCCAAATATTCTCAGGCAATTTGTTCACTGAATGTTTTAGTTGAAGAATTGCAATCCCAAATTCAGTTATTTAAAGGGTTTGTATTGGTTTTTGACAGGTTGGTAGAGACAAAAGGATTTAGGTGGATTTTGAGACATAAGAAAATGCTAGCTTTGTCTCTGGGGCACTTTGCCACCCTCACCATGTGTTCTTCTCCTGCTCTAGTGGGAGAAAGGGAAATCTCAAATTGCTCTGCTTCGGCTTGTTCTTACAGAGACTTGCTGACCATTGTTTCAGCATTACAGCCTTTGAACCAATTCAAATTGAACAGATGTTTGTGGAATCAATTTTATTAGTGCACAATGAAATATATTTTCCTGCTGCTTTCCTGAAGAAGTATTACCTTGTCACTATTTTAAATTGAAGAACTAAAATTTATTTTGCACTATTCCTGTAATAGTTTTTTTCTCCTTGTTCTTCCTTTTCTCAGCATTCTGAAATAAAAGAAAAAGAAGTAGAAATGAAGAAGAATGAAGAAAATGAAGCGAAGCTCACCATGCAGGTTACAGCATTAAATGAAAATCTGGGCACCGTGAAAAAGGAGTGGCAGTCCAGTCAACGGAGGGTCAGCGAGCTGGAGAAGCAGACAGATGACCTGCGGGGCGAGATTGCGGTGCTGGAGGCCACGGTGCAGAACAACCAGGACGAGAGGAGAGCACTCCTAGAACGGTGATTGCTGTCCAGTAAAATTAGTTTATTTTAATTCTAAGTGATAAAAAGATTGTCACATCTCACATTTTTTTAAAATAGAAGAAGTGTCTTAAGAAAAGTACATAGCTTCTGTGGGAATTTAAGTAGCCATTCAATAAAAACTCATACTTAAAACAATCAGATTGTTGAAATTAATGTATCCTATTTAAAGTTACTAATTATTTACGTTTTAGAAGGGACTTTAATGACTTTTTAAAAATTAATGACTTTTTACCATCTATTCTAGATGTCTTAAAGGAGAAGGTGAAATAGAAAAGCTTCAGACCAAAGTACTAGAAGTGCAAAGAAAGCTGGACAACACAACCGCAGCAGTGCAGGAGCTGGGCAGGGAAAACCAGTCCCTTCAAGTGAGTCACGTGGCGATGGGACGCAGTTACTTAGTCTAGCAGTCAGCTCTTAGTGAAAAGTATATTTCAGCCCTTTTAAAGAAATCTCATATATTTAATAAATACTTTTGAGCGGCTGCTTTCCATGTAGCAGTATTAGAGATGCTGTAATTAAGTATAAGAGAGAAAGAACTTGTCTGAGAGACCGTAGCGATAGTGAGAGAGCCGTGTCATTCATGAATGGTCAGTAAGGGGAAACTTCGAGAGCCCCAAGGAATGGAGGAGCTGCTGTGTGCTGAAGAAGTGGACTGAGTATGTGCTCAGAGTCCCAAGGAAGGATTCATTGTTAGAGTTAGAGTGGGTGAGAAATCACCAAAGGTTGGAGAATAAAGTCCGATTTACTCTACGTACCTACCTGTCTGTCTGTCTGTCATTCAGACTTAAGAATGTAGCAGCCTTTGATAATGGAAGTTGACCAAAGTATTTCTGATTATTAAAATTTTATACCATGGTACATATAGTCAAAATTTTATTAAATTAAGGCACCAAATTAGAAAATATCCATCATTCTTCCAAAAGTCGATATTACAGTGTATCAAAACTTTGTTTCTCATAGATCAAACACACCCAAGCATTGAATAGAAAGTGGGCTGAAGACAATGAAGTGCAAAACTGTATGGCCTGTGGGAAAGGCTTCTCAGTGACAGTGAGACGGGTAAGTGATTTCGTTCACGTTGCTCTGGTTCTGGGTTTTATTCCTCAGTGACAGTCGATGTTTTGACAGGTTAAAACAAATTTCCATATTTTTGGTTTATGTACAACTACATAGAGTAATTAAATTTAGTTTCTGGTTAGCATGTGTGTTTCAATTTTAGTTTTGAATTCAGTCATTGCCTTCTTACCGAGTTACTCTCTGGAATAATCATTTTCTGAGTCAGTGCACCAGTATTAAACACTAATGTTTTAGTCATCATTGAGTTCTTTCAAAGGAAGAAAAAGCAGAGATAAAAAAAAATATTTTCTAAACAATACCATTATGTGATGTTTCAAGATTTTATTCCTACTGAAGGAATGCCTGAAATATTTGGCAAATATTATAGTAATAGTTTTTCACCTGGTAGAGGTGGTTTATTAACACTTTAAAAAGCTTCCTGTTTCTTTTGAGAATTCCATGATAAAATTCATATAAAATGTTTAGCATACTATCTGATAAGTAGGAAGCATTCCATTTAACTAAGAAATTACATCGACATATTAAAATATTACATTATTAAATAATGCATTCATCACTTGAAAGTTAATACCTTCATAGTGCAGTTTGCAGTATTGTTAATTTTATAATGCATTTGGTGTAGTTTCTGTGCTTAAAATATTTCATTTTTGTCACCTACAGCATCACTGCAGACACTGTGGAAATATCTTCTGTGCCGAGTGTTCAGCCAAAAATGCCTTAACTCCTTCTTCCAAGAAGCCTGTCCGTGTCTGTGATGCATGTTTCAATGACTTGCAAGGGTAATGGGTATCGCAAACTTCAGAGTAATATGACACTAACATTAGATTTTTAATAAATGTACTTAATAGAGGTCTTGGACTACTCTGGTTTGGACGCTGGTTTCCATACTAAACCAAATTAGAATTCATATATTTTGGAATGCTATCAATATCAAGTAAAACTCTTCTATTTTTGTGAAACTTGGGCTCATCGTTCATTACTTTTTTCCGTTTAACCCCTGGAACAGCTTTCACACTAAGTTTAGAATTAGCCAATGAAATGTAAATAAATTTTGGACAGAAAATAGCAATGTATTTTTTTAAATATAATTTTGTTGTTCACAAATGACATGAATATACTTCAATAACTTCTTTCTCCCAAATTTAATGGACAGAAATGTACATGGATGATGTCACATTATGTATGTTGCACAATAACATATTAAATACATCGCGTGTTCTCTGTGTGAAGTTGCGCACAGAACTATGAAACTTTCTGACTCTTTTCATATGTATTGGTACATGCCTTAGTTACACTGTTATGTTATAAATTTACTACTTAAGTGTTCTAAACACATTCTGTGTTGAAATATGTATTAACCATGAATTCAAAATTGTTTTTGCTTTAATAATACTTACATTAGAGTCTCTTGGGTAGATTTTATGAAAACCTGTGTACAACTGATTTGCTTACTTTATGATTATCCTAGAATTGTATTGTAACAATTAGGGTTAATATTTCTTTTTCATTCTCATTTTTAAACTCCAAATTATTCTCCATTAGGAACTCTGCTAAGCTTCCCACCCTCACCCCATTTGGAAGGTGAATAGTAGAAATTGTCTAGTAGTCCTATTCTCAATTTCTAGTAAGTGGAAAATTTTCTGAGATTAGCCTTTATATTATCCCCTCATTTTGTCTCTCCAGTATCTTCAGGAATGAGTTTGCTTTTTCAGAGGATCTGCTTTTTACCTTTATTTGGTTCAATCTTCTCAAGTATAGCTCACCTTCACTGTAATTGTTATATAATTTTTGCATCTTAAAGTCAGTAACCGATGTTGCTAGAGTTTTTCTATATTTGTGAAAACAAATGAAAAAGGATAAGGGAACATTAAATATTCTTCTTTATATTTTCTTTTTACCTAATAGGGAAGAATTTTTTTAAATTGTGAATTTAAATTTAAAATGGTTCTGAATTTGGGTTCCATACTAACTGGGAAATCTTTTTACTTTGCAAAAATAATGCTGTGAAGTTACCTTGAAGTAATAGCTTGAGAATAGAGTTTCACTAGAAACAAATGTATTTAGGAATCCTGAAGTTGCAATCAGAAATGAAACAGAATGGCTAATTAAAGATAATTAAAAACTGGCTTATTTGTATGCTGAACAATCACATTGAACTTTAAATTATCATAGTCTTATTAATTTGGAAAATTGGGAAATATCTGAAAAGAGAAATCATTAATGTTGGTTTATTACTCCCTAGAGAAGAAATGTAAAGTTACACATATTTTTCAGTGCAGTTATTTGGTAGGAATATCAGGAAAGGAAGGGAGTTAATTTTCCATTTCCAATAAATAGTGTATAATATACACTTGCTTTCAAATATCATGCTGAAATGAAATGTTTATGCTACACTTACTACATATATATATAAACTTAAAGAGATTGCCACATACTCATTTAATTATTTAAAAACCCCATTTAAGTAAACCCTATTGTTAGTATCTATTAAGGACCTGGACTGAAGCTCTGGACTTGGATAAACATGTGACATTTAACACATATAATGAAGAAATCCAATGACTCTTCATTAAAAATAATACTTGGCTAATAGAAATTGAGGTAAAGTTATTTATTTATTTTCAAATACTTCTCCTTTCAAATAACCTTAATTCTGTGCTTTCACAAATAAGGGATTTAATAAATATATTAGAAAAAATAGTCACAGCACTGCTATTTATTCTTTAAGATAATAAAATTTCATGAGAATTATGCTGGGTTAGAATATTTGTTTACTCCATCCCCTAATTGTATACACTAAAGGCCTTTTCCCGTATTCCCCTATCCACAGTATTCACCCCCCAGAAACTGTAAGGACAACAAGTAGAACTGTGCCTGAGAGATTCTCTAGTTTTCATCTAGCTAATGTCGTCTCATAGGTCCTTAGTAATTTACTGTAGGCTGTTGTACTAATCATAATAGAAATGAAACCTAATATTTTTGCTGTTAACTCTCACCAATTTTAGGTGTTTGGAAACAAAAACAAAAGAGTTTTCTCTTTCTTTTCATTGAAAAAGTCAACTTCTCCCATCCAAGTACTAACCAGGCCCAATCCTGCTTAGCTTCTGAGACTAGACAGTATCAGGTGCGTTCAGGGTGGAATGGCTGTAGACAAAAAGTCATCTTTTCAGTCCTTGTCAGCTCTACAGTTCAGAGGTCTGCTGGTTCTGTTCGGTAGTGAGTTAGAGTATGTGTGGAGTCTCAGCTCTCAGCTCTAATGCAAAACATACTAGCATTGCGTGTTAGTGAATTCCAAACCCCAGCACAGACATGTGAGCTGAAATCAAGTCTTGCTGGGTTAGCAGATAGTAAACTATACCTATGGAATTTTTAGAAGACAGAGCTGCTGGTATGGGATTTGTTCATTTTGAAGAAAAACAAGGGAAACAAACACAAAAACCTCAAAGCAGTGTACAAATAACCTTTTGTTCAACTACCTCTTAATGTGGAATAGGCTAGTTTCATAGTTTCCTCACAGTAGTGTTAAATAGTAACTGCCAAATTTGTTAGTTTCCCATTTCTCTTTAAAAAGGCTTTATGATTATTTTATAGTTTTGAGAACTTCAAATAAACTTTTTTTAAACCTTGCATTTGCATATAAGTATTCAGCTTTTAAGTGGAGAGCAAATTATGATCATATATTTTGATATTCATGATCTATTTGACTATAGCAATTTTTTTTAATGCACTTTGGCTATAAAACCATGGATGACTTGATCTATAAGATTTAAATGTGCCGTCAATTTAGTATTCCTAGACATGAGTGTGATGAATGCTATTCTGTAATTACAGTGTGCCACACATTAGCGTGTCTTAATCGCCCTTTGCCTGAATTTCAAAGATCAATTTGTTATTGTTACAGATGTGAATATTGTGCATAAACTTACTAAATTTATGTAAAACTGTAAAATAGAGCTAAGTTCTTCCAGTGTGGGAGTAATGGATTCACTGTAACACAATGCAGTCGTGTCCATGACATTCTGTACTTCTTTGAACTGGATCACATATCATATCTTATGTAGATACTTTTGCATGAGGATTTCCTTGTTTAGTTTTTGGATTCATTATTTGTATTGTGTTTACTACTTGTGATCATGTTGTTGTGCCTTACTTTGTGAGAGAGTTTAGCTCAGTAAATACTGTAATTTCTAAACTCAGTGATTGGAAGGTTATTGATTATAAATGTAACTGATGACAGCATTTAAATCTGTATAAAGATCAATGGAAGGATCCTTATTGAATTGTTGCTTTTGTTTTTTAATATGTTAAAGATGATATTAAAAACATTTCTTTATGCTAGATGTATTCTATGGCTACAAATTATTTTGTCTATTTAAAAAAGAGACAGCAAGATATTAACCATTTTGCATTAATTTATTTACAGAATGTTAGAACCTTGCTTGGATATAGGGAGTGAATATGCCCTAATGTGCAGCTTAGAACAGTAATTAAGTTCATAATTTTAAAAGAAATTACTAATGCCATTTTGCTTGAGACATTCCCTTTTCATTCCATTCATTATTGTGGAAAATTAACAAAACTAAAAAGAAATATTAAACAAAATTAAATTAATTTCATTATATATCTAAGTTTAATAACCAGGTGACCATTTAAAAATATTCTTGTGAAGGCTTTACGTACCACTGTTTTTGTTTTTTTTTGTCCCCTTACCCCACCCCTGGGAACCAAAGTTCCAGACTGTTTTTTTCATTTTACTCTGATATGCTTCCCTCTGAAGAGTTTACTGTGTATATTCTCTAGCACTTAATATATAACATATTAGACATGTTCTCTTGTAAGCCTTATAGAATTCCAGTTTAAGTACATAGCATATTCTTCTTTTAAATTTTATGGTACTGTCATAAGAATACAACATGAGATCTATCCTCATGACATCTTTTTAAGTGTACAGAAGATAGCTAAGGCTTCTTCACCTTCCTTAACTGAAGCTTCACGCATTGGCATTGATTTGTAACTACTCATTTCCTCCTCTCTCTGTTTCGCTGGCAACCAGCACTTCATGCTTTGATTCTATGACTTTGACTATTATAGATATCTCATATAAGTGGAATCATACAGTACTTGTCTTTCTCTGTGATTTGCTTATTTCACTTAGCATATAATGTCCTTAAGGTTCATCTACATTGTTATATATTGCAGGATTTCCTTCTTTTTACAGGCTGTGCAGTATTCCATCCTATACATACATCCCACATTTTCTTTATTCATTCATCTGTCAATGGCCATTAAGGTTTTTTCCACATCTGACTATGTGAATAGTGCTGCAATGAACATAGGAGTGCTAATATTTCTTTGCATATAAGCTACTTTAAATTCTTTATTAATTTAGTCAGTTTTTCCCTCATGGAATTTTAGGGAGAAACTAGTCCTTTATGCATATAAATATATAATTACTGGACTCATATGACTAAAGGAATCTTGAGAGATTGCCTAGTCCTAGTCCATTGTCATCCTCCTAAGTTGGCTGATATCTAAAAATCCATGCAAGACTAATATTAATTTCTTTTTCTAAGTACGCATATGTGTATAGTTTTTGGCCATATTTTTTTTGTACATCTTGTGTTAGTCTGTATTGTCTTCTGAAGATAAATTCCTTTCAGTCTCACCCAGGTTCCATCTCTAGGAATTCACTTGAAGTCTGTTCTCCCCTTTGTCTTTTTTTCCTTATTTGTTTTTAGCCTTTAACAGTAGTTACTGCTCTCCAGATTTTATTTTTATTTGCGCTTCCTTCTACGAACGTGTCCCATCATTACTCAGTGACCCTCCATGACAGCAGTGGCCAGCCTCTG